CCCCCCCTCTCGACTTTTTTCCACTTTGATATTCCATCCCTTCTGTGAAGCCTGAAGTCAAGTAAAGGGCTAATGATGACTATGAAAACCCCTGTCATTTGATGTTAATGTTATTCCAGCATGATCTTATCAAAGTAAAGTGGTTTAAAATCATGTCCATTTCGTCAATAGATCCCTACTAATGGTGATGACACTTTTGGAAACCCTCTTCTTTTAAGCAGGATGCATGTAAAATTGTTACCAATAGGGATATAGGGAAGGTTCTTATGCTTTTTTCCAAAATTCCTGCATCTTAAACTGTGATTATGCCTTAAGACTGTCGTGGTGGATATAATTTCATCCAAAATATCATATTCTATTTTTCTGCCAAGGCGATTGGCATAGTTGATTGATAAATGTAAAGAAAGTGAAAAAAGGAGTCTTCTTAAATTGGGTCGAAAAGTAAATGAAGTAGTACCAAAAGTGATTGTACTCGTTCCTACCCAGGATCGTCTCATGTATCCTCAAAGGGAAGTTTCTTAATTTCAAATTAATCTCAGTCTTTCCAGATAAGTAATATTCTTTTTTTCTTATGGTAGATCAATGTTTACAGTGACCTGAATTTATACCACATTAAGTCTGCCGATCATGGCAAGTAAGAATGGCTTGGAGCATAGGAATATCAATTAGTTCTTTTTCAAGAGATTTGTGATCTCAATGTTTGCAAGTTTAATTGCATGGGTCTAGAAGCGCAACTTGTTGGAAATCTTAAAAAGCTTTTTTTTGTGTCTTAAAGAGCTAATGAGATTCTCATTTCCCCACATTCATCTCTTTTATCCGAAAGTAGACATTCAGAAGCCGTCATGAGGCAAAGACACAAGGCAACACAATCCAAAGTTTTCGTCAGAAAACAATGCAATGGTGATTGTTCAAGTCTAGGCACAACGTTGCAAGCATACTCGATGTCGATACGAGTTTGGATGTTCAAAACCAACGGAGATCAATTTAAACATATTTGACCTAGGACTTGTAATCCCGAAATTCAAGAGACGCAGTGGAATCATCGATCCTACCTTTACTTCAAACTCCCGTTTAGGGCCTAAATAAAAATAAACAATCTATAAATTTATTTTATTAAAAACGACTAAATTGGTTCGCTTGCTTCGCAGCATGTTTGAGTAAAAGCCTTCAAGAAATTGTGATTGTCTTGGTAACGTGTTTGAAAATGCGTGTAGTATTTAGGATTGAAGTTTGATGTTGCTCAATGAAGCAAAGTGGTTTGACTATTTCAAAAACTTTTAGTTTGTTATTATTCGGTCAAGAGAACTCTTTCGGGACAGATAAATAGTTTGGAACAAGGGAACAGAGATTTGGTTGAACGCAATAAAGGATGCTAGATTCCCTTCTAGTTGTCAAAATGAAATAAATATGGATTTTTCAATTGCTCTCTCAAGAGGTCTGTTGAGGGGATTAGATCTAAATTTAGTGTCAAAAGTTTTTAATAATATAACTATAAACTAAACTAAGCTCGCATTTTTTAAACCAGAATGATCATTAAGTAGTTAATTTAGTCGATTGTATCTTTTAATCCTATCGATCGACAGATCAATCGGTATAAAATGTATTGATTTGTTTTTCCCGAACATCCGGATGTAATTGACATCTTTTCACTCCACTTTCTATGCGAATTACTTTATGAGAAGAATTTAGTATTTTAGGAATGGGAAACAACATTCCCAGAGTTTTATCTACGAGAGGCTACAAGTGTTTCTTTAAAGCGATTTGCCTTGTTCATTGGAAAAATCTTTATTTTCAAGATCTTCA